CACTAGATTGGAGCCAGTGTCTTAAGTAGTTGAACATAGTACTCCAATCTCATGAAAATGACAAATTGACACGTTTTCATTTTCGTCAAAAACAACTTAATATTGAAGGAGTGCCTTTGATTTGATGGCCTGCCCATGCGCAGTTTGGCGCGCGACGACGTCACCATGACATCGCCTAGAAGTGTGATCGGGGATTTCTATTGGTGAAGCAGTTGTATTTTCATACTGTACTGTACAGAAAGAATAGATGACGCTTTCCTCCAAAATTCATAAACCTCGGGACAATCCCAAATCATATGTTCCAAGTGTACATTTTCGTCATTTAGCAGAAGCACTTATCCAGAGCAATTTACAGTTAGTGAATGCATACATGTTTGTTTTTTTGTAGTTTTTTTATACTGGCCCCCCGTGGGAAACGAACCCACATCCCTGCCGGCCAAACCCTCCCCTACCTTGGACGACGCTGGACCACTGCGCCACTCGGGAGTACTGGCACAACCTGCCGTACTGAGGGAACCTAGGTCACCGTTTGGGTTTGGAGCCTGTTTAGGATTAAATCTTAACGGTGGTGTCCAGTAGGCTACGACCTATGACAGAGCTTAACATTTATTAATTAACTGATGATTTGGGTTCTTTGATGAGTTAAATATATTCTCCCAGACATTATCTCAGTCAATAGCCTCTTTATTAATAGCCAAATCATTTACCCATGCTTTAACCATTGAAATATTTTTCTGCTTTAGTAATTGAAGATGTGAGTAAATATTTGACACAAAACCTCTTGACGGGAATGTAAAAACCAGGGGACCTATGGGTCACAGGGACCTATGGGTCTTCTAAAAGGGAAAATAAAGTTACCATATTGGCTGAAATTAACAGTAGCATCTGTCATGAATGTCATTACCCATTTCTGTGATTAGATTGATATATATTACAGACTTCAAACTTCCTGACCATTTTAACTGGAACTCCTATAGGTAGGCTAGTCTACAATTATCCCCACGCCTAGGTCTGTATGGTTCCACACTTTAGTTATCTGTTACAAAATCAACAGGTGCTCAACAGTTTGTATTAAAAGAAGGCTACTGGAATATGACTGTAGCCTATGTCATGGAACAGAAGGAAACAGTATTTAGAAGTTGAGAACATTGTCAGATAACGGATGTTAGAATTTCCGGCCATTGTTCTCTAGAAGCTCAATCATGTAGCCACTGATGTTATTTTATATAGGAACACCTTGACCACATCAGTGCGCACCAGCCATGGTACTAGAATACTATGCCAGCTTTGGCCCATAGGCCTAGGTTACAATATTTATCAATTACATAATATTGATCGCATGGGTTAGGGATTGTGCAAAGTGCCTATACTTAAGGCTTATGTAGATAACTATTGAAAGCTTCTCAATTTAACTTTGGTTGTCCTGCGTGAAATGACGACCTTGATGAGGCTGTAAAATCCTATGTTTGGGCAACTTTTTTCACTGTGAATTGCCCAACATCCTTTTAGGGACTCTTGGGTGGAGGATAAGGGCACTGTGTAGGAAATGAAGTTGGTGAACTGAGTGGGGTCAACTGAACAGGAAAGACAAACTCACTGGAGACGCGTGTCTCTGTCACGAGGCCACGAAGCGCGGATCCTGCTATGGCTGCAGTTATTCCTGCGGGGCAGGAACTATCACAGGAGGGGGTGATGGAGCATGAAAAAAGATATGCCCCCAAGAATATCTACATTGTTGGAGATACATTCCAAAGTAAAATCTGAGAAATTCTGATTTTTTTTTTTCTAAAGGCTTGACATTTAATTCAATGGGCCTGCACTGTTGTAAATGCGTAAAGTGGAGAAAAACGTATTCCATTAGACATTATGTTATCACTTGTTGTGTGTGAAATAATACATGATGTTAAACAACAGAAACTGTTTCATATGGATGATATCAATAAGATATATTGTGTGGTTTCAAAGTTGGCATGATATTTACTTTGATAAAGCATTTTATTTAACTTTTGTAAAAAGTTCATTCGATTTCCTGTTCTATCCATAACATAAACATAGCCTGCATGGACAGGTGCGTAGAAATGTCTATATTTATTTTGTCCTAAAAACACTTGGCAATAGTCAATAGCCTACGAAAGGACAGAGGAAGGACATTAAGCCCTAGTCTTTTTCCAATTTGAAAAGGACCTCACACTATTTGTTTTTTTTTATGGTGCTGTTCCTATTTCTTCTAGATTTCCCTTATTTCATGGTTCAATTGACTTGCAACTCCCGGTCCCTCTCACACTAAATGCAAGGAGAGGTTTTTCACTCGCTTCCCATTGGTTGCCGGCTGGCGGCTCTCTTATCACAGTAACATTCTCATTCATACACCCTGCGCTCCATACGCCTTCTCAAAATAACTTACTGTGATCCATGGTAACGACTTTGAGTAGACGGGTCAAATAATTTCAATTGGGGAATAATTAAACTGAAAGAATAGAGGACTGACAGCATAACGACAGGTGAGTGAGGAAATTACATTTGTAAGATTGCCACTCGTAGTCTTCTAACCAGCCACAAACCTCTGTGCATGCTGCCTCTTTGGTGACCATAAATCAATTCCACTGTTTTGTTACTAATTCTAGATTCATGTAGCCTGCCTTTTCATAAAACGATCTAACTTATCAAGATGCCATGCCAGTCGTCGGAGCTGGTTTCCATTTAGCTTAAACAAATGCTTTGCAGGCTATCATTCGATAAAATTACATTTGGTTTATTTTTCGTTTATAAGTTTGTTTTCGAAATGTGTTTTGGTTTGCCCTAATATAACTCGCTTTCAAGGTTGCTAGATGAGTGAGAACTGTGGTTAGAGAAAGTGCAGAGATTAGGGAAAATCAGTTCGTTCTCATTTATGATGGATAACAGCTCGTGCTTGTGCAAGGTAAAATGCTTAAAATGTGACACTAGAGGCTTCCAGCCCACGGGCTGTCTCGGAGGAAAGTCACTGCAGTTATTCATTCAACAGTCCTCATGAGCCGCTAGTCGACTAATTGGCTACAGATGCGAAATTCTATGCTCTTTTACCGTTTAGAAATTGGATGCATTTGGGAAACTTTATGAGGCGAGCCTGACGTTTGCCTGTAGGAGCTGAAAATACGAAAATAGTGGTCCCCTACAATTATAAATAGTGCGATGATCATAAGCTCCTTGGATAATATATCAGTAGCGGAGGTGGTGAGGCAGAAATTCAATAACCAAACATTTCAGCCAAACGTGAAAGTATTCCATAAAATATGTGAATGTGGGCCTATAAAATATCTGATCAGACACTAGTCAGTCCGTGTGTTTTATATTGAATTATTTAGAGATTGCTATAACATGAATTCTGGATGTGTAGTGGTCCATCTGTTTTCGTCGTATTTCTGCAATGTGGTTATTTTTAACATAATGCCGCTGTTGTTTTGGGGGCCCTGCACCATGTATTGTAGGCCTAGAGAGACAAGTGCTACCTACCTCTCGTTATTCCCAGTTTTCACAATGACAGTGAGTGTCTCCTGTCAACGGATGAGTTCTGTTTTTGGAGACCAGTGTTTGTCTCAGTGTAATTTGCTTGATGTTAGGAATGTTAAATGTTGCATGTGCCAGCCATCTTAATAATTGCACTCTGAGGGAACGGCCAAAGACACCGTCTTCGAGCTGCCCTTTCACCCTAGACTTTGTAAGCTGCACTTATTAAAGCGAAAAGTGTTTCAATATGTGGTCAGCTTTAGGGAGAAACGTGATGAAGGTTGGGGTTGGGGATCTGCTACCCTTCTCTCCACATGAGTAGTCTATCGAGCAAGTTAAAGTCATTCAACCATGGTAGTGGTTCTGGTCATCATGAACATTGGTATTGTGGATGGGAATATGTGATTGGTTATTAGATTATCATTGTGCCACAAAATATGTGACGGAGGAAACAACAGTGCAAGGACGGTCATATGGCTGAATGAATCAAGTCTGTGTCGAATAACTTACAGTGGGCCTATGAACCAAATTTGACCTTACTACATATTTTGGTGGAAGTGGTTGCACGGAATGGAACGCAATTCACAAAACCGCAAGGCGCTGGTGGCGCGCTCTAGAGATCTCTAGCTGTGGTGGTTATTGATAACTTTGTCAATAATTTACTCCGATATCACAACAGCATGAACAATAGCAAAAGGCTTCCGAAGGTAAAAAGGTTTTCAAATTGTTTATTTTATTTAATGTGTGGCCTCATGCTTGGAGACTAGGCCTATATATAAATACATTATTTAACTTGAGGGCAAATAGAAAAAAAGATCCCCAAAAACTAATTTGATAATAACCAGAGTACAGAAAACGGGACTATTAGCCTGAGGGGAATATTTTCAGGAGATATCACTGCCATTGAAATGCACAAAAGTTTGCATGAGGCCCTGAAAATAAACGTTATTTAATTTAACATAAAAAAATGAGCTAGCAAAAGAGTCAATGAACTATGAGTTAATGGATGAATGAAGCTTGAACGCTGGCTGTGTGGATACTAATGCATTATGAAGAAAGGTTGTTGATGGTCAAATGCATTACTGAAGGAGTGGGCGGGAGAGTTTGTGATTCCAGTGTTATGTCTAGCCTATACTGTAGCTCTTTACCATTAGGAAGCAGAGTCATTCTTCCACCAATCAGACTGGCATAGCTATCATAGCTATTTAGACATAACATATTGGCATGACATAATATAATTTATTCACCACACTATAGGGTGATTTTTGTCATTACATTGTTATTACATTATTGATTATTTTCATACGCATTGAACCACAATTGATGAGCAATATGCCCAAAATTATTAGAAATTATATTATTGGGCACATTAGCCAACTAATATAATTATTGGGCACATTATTAGCATATTATTCATATGTTTTACTATTCTATTTATTTGTGTTGTTATAATTATTTTATTGCATTATTATTATAGAATCCCCTTTTTTGTGCTAATATTCCTCTCCTGTCCCCAGGGCCCGTTGAACACTGTTGAACATATCTAGGCCCTCTCGGTTCTATGAACATGTTTCAGACCGTGCCTGACACTTCGTCTTACGTCAAGGTAAGACAACATCGTCTCTTCGAGCAGGTAATTTTGGTGGACGGTCTGGGTCCTCCCTAATTTTATATTCATGATGATACTTTGTGAATAATTAGCATCTGCTTGTCATTCCTTAAATGGCTATCGGTAGGTCTACCCTAGGCCTAATATGATAGGTATATTGAATAGGTATCCTATCAATTAAATCTTGCCACAATTGTCTCTCTTATTCCGTTGTTGTTACCATGTTATAACCGTTCTGCAAGAATAGGCCTGTATTCAAACATTTTAAGGTAGCCTACTGTATAATGTGATTATGTTTATCTGTCTAGAGATCATTATTCATTTAATGTCTTTGCCTTCAGTGCGGGACCGTTATAGCACATTCTTATATTTGACATCATGCAGTTTTTTCCTCTCTCCGCCCCAGTCTCAAAGAATGTAAACAAAGCAAATAGTGGACATCTGGTTTTCACGTTTAAAACTCCGTGCATTGAATCACATGGTACAGCGTGGGATTCCTGCAACCGGACAATTTATAGGCCTTGGGATGATTTGTTAGAAACGAAATATGCATTCCCATTGTTAATCTTATAGCCTATATTAAACTGCACAATCCAGGACATGCCATAACCTGAGTTTAGGAAACTATCAGTGTAAGTGCAGTCGTTATGTATTATGGGAATGTATCGTTTGAGTTTAAAACCTATTTGCCTACTTGTCATTGTGCTGCCTGTTGATTGCTCATCATAACACATCAACATTTCAGTAGACTATTATGGAATCAGGCTGTTTTAAAATAATATTGGAAATGTGATGCCATATCTTTCTTTCATAGATCATTGGTCGAAGACCAATTGCAAATAGGCGGAGCCTGAAAATGAACAATTGTGCTTAGTCAATTCATTCATAAAATCTTTATACTCAAAATATTCCAAGAGTGACTTGTTATGTTTTGGCGACTTATTGCCCTTTGCATATAAGGGCTCTTTTCATTCACCCATAACGTTTGTAGCGCTCTGCAGAAAGACTTGAGTTTCACTGGACACATTGCTTGAGTTCTCTGAACAATTCCCGATTTTTTTATGGGAGACTTGAACAGCAAGGAATGTTTGAGGAGGAAATATGCTTTGAAATGAGCCATTCTGCTCCCTAAATAAGACAACAAGTCAATGACGAGGAAACAAATCCAGGAACCTGTGCAAAGTGCTCTTTGGGTAACCATTGAACGCGTAAGATTCCTTAAGCAACCCAAATTTAACACAAAGTTGGTCAGGTCAATGAATATCGCATTGCCCAGGTTTTAATCTAAACCTTCACTGAATCATTTTGCATTTGGGTGCAAGATATTGATTGTTCAGAATTTGAACCAGGCACGCCTCAAGACACATTTTAAAGAAATATTCTGCTTCATGGTCTAGCATTGGTTTTGTTTGATTAAGGCCAGGCGAGACTCGAGCTCTCCAATAAAAATAAATCTCAAATTAATTATGGCCCCGAGCAAGGGACCAGACTGTTCGGTCTTGTGTTCTGCAGTCTTTGCTTTTTGCCCTGAGTATTTTTACTTGGGCTTTCTTTTTGCCCGAGAGAGAGAAGGTGCTTACCAGAACTCTCAAGTCTAATGAACAATCTTAAATGGCCGATCCATATCCATGTCTATGTAGTGGTTAGAATAATAGGCCTAAAACTTTTGGCACATAAATTAATTTATAGAAGTCACAACAGACCGGGGCGGCAGGTAGCTTAGTGGTTAAGAGCGTTGTGCCAGTAACCGAAAGGTCGCTGGTTCTAATCCCCGAGCCGACTAGGTGAAAGATCTGTCGATGTGCCCTTGAGCAAGGCACTTAACCCTAATTGCTCATGTAAGTCGCTCTGGATAAGAGCGTCTGCTAAATGACTAAAAATAAAAAAATAAAAAAATAGACCACAACCTGTAGGCCTAGGCCTAATGTTAGTTTGTTTTGTATTTTATTAATGAATATTTGTTCACGAATAATATAAACATAGGCCTCTTTCAGTAGGCTAATAATCTTGCCTAATAATTATGATGAAAACCTATAATAATATCGACATAATTATCACCGTCATAATTTAGCCTTAGATCATTTGGTAACATTATGGAGATGTTTAGGCCTATATAGGCTATTATTGCACACTTGTAAGCATGTGAAGTTATGAAGTGCTGTAAGTCCACGATGAGCAAAAGGGCAAACATTTAAAAACTGAAACAAACCTAAGTGCTGTCCACCCACTTCTTGTATTGTCCAATGGAGGAGCTATGGCTTCCCACAGCTCGTGGTAGGAAATGTCTGGCTGTCAGATTTCAGCGTCAAGGCAGATGTTCTGTGGTTCGCTGTATAAACCAACTTGCATCTGTTTATTGGCCTCCGAAAATATTTGTTACCACTCTCTTTGCATAAACCTGCATGTTCCGTGCGTAATGGCGTGAATAATTTGATTAGCTATAGCCTGCTCTTACTTAGTCTTTAGTTTGTTAGTGTTTGCCTCGGTTACTGTGGCTCTGTGACTAACTCAATCAATAGTGCTAGATGATTTCAGAGTTTGGTCACATTATACCTGAAGTAACCTCAGGTGTCAACGAATCACACAATATTTTGTTTGCGTTTTACGGGGTATTAGGCATATTTGAAATTGGCCTACGTATATGGCCCACAAAATGACAGTAATTCACTATTAGGCCTACCAGTCAATAGGCTATTTAAAATAATAAACATGTATTATTTTCAAAACGTTAAGCCATACCAATGCACTCTGCTATTGCAAACGGGTCTACAATGGATGGAATCTATAATGAATAGTATACTATGACATTCATTCGGCCTACTTTCCTTTTGAATGAAAATGAACGAAATCCAATACAAAACCGTGGAATGTTGAATAAGAAAAAGTAACGGCCACTAAATAGTTAAACAAGGTGTCTCCCTTAATTACACGAGGCTGAACTGGCCTCAGGCAGAAGAAGCCTTGACCTCAAGCAGGATCCAGATGTGGTGGTATAGAGGGGGCCTCTCCCCCAACAGACCCCCAAGTCGAGAGCAGACAGGCCGACCCGTCTGTCAGTCCCAGCGTCGTAGGCTCCGTTTGGCCGCTCTGTGGCATGGCCGCTCCCCCAGGCAGAGCCCTATTGGTCTGGTCACGTTCAGACCTGGCTCCATGTCTAGCATCTGCGCTGAAATTGTGTCTAAATTGATGAGGGCAATTTCCAAAGGTAGAGGGAAAATGGTTGGGGGTGGGGACTGGAGATTTTTGTCCATGGGTCCAGTAGCCTAAGGAAGAAAGTAGTTCAACTATAGCCTAGGTCTAATAATAATAATAATAATAATAATAATAACAATAATAATAATAATAATAATAATAATAATAGAAGCCTATAATAATGTAATAACATGTAATAACAATGTCATAACATCACATGGGAGTAGGTTTACTTCATCATTACATTAATGAAAACCATACAAATGTACTCATGAACTAAACTCCAAACATATTAAGAGAGGGATTCCCCTTAGCAATATTTGGAAATATACAATCCATCATCATGGAAACAGACGCACACGTGTAGAGCAGACCTTGATAGAATGCCTCTGGGGCGCTGCGTGCTTGGATTTTCTTAATGGTGTTTCAGGAAAACTTCACAGAGACTTGGAAGGCTATAACAAAGAGTAGCCTAGATCGCAACAACCCTTGCCACAGGTAGTTCAAGTTCGTATTCCTCTTGGTTTGATTTACAGTTCATTTCATCAGCACTCTCGCGGAAAACATCTGTCTGCTTTGAAAGTGAAACTTTATTTTATATCTCTATCTCGCAGTGGAAACGCGAATATAAGAAGTTAAAAGAGTGTGTGATGATTTAGGCTACAGTAAAATCAGAATTGTGGACAAAAATGTTTAACGCATTGCATTAAAGAAATAAGGAGATTATAAAACATGATGGAATCACATAACAGTCTATACCGGTTTAAATTATAACTTTTTCATTGGCAAATGAATTTAACATAATACATGTATATTGATGAAATTGTTGAAACAATCTCATTCGCCACTGTCTGTGACCTTTGGATAAAAAATTACACAAATGTAGCCTACAACAACATATGCATAACGCTGGCAACCATTCTGTAAATATTTCCAAGTAAAAACATTAACAGCGGAGGGAACACGCAATTGTTTCCCCTGCTTATCTCTTTGGGACAAGTATCCTGCTTTTTAGAGCTGCAATGGAGGCAGGGCTTGCAGTGACATACATAGCTTCCTTCTCAAAAGCGGTGACTTCCCTTCCCAAATGTTGAGAAAAAAAACCATCCGGTTAACTGTCTCTTTCTCTCTGAGACATATCGGGGGCTGGAATTATTTCAGGAGCGTGTCATGTTTGGAATATTTTTGGGGTCCGCGCAAAATGGACGGAACTATTAAGGTAAGGGTGGAGGACGGGGTGTACGAATTACTGAGAGGTTTGCTTTTCGGAGTTGCGCCTTCTTTTAGCATGAGTTGCTATGTCTGTGAGCAGTAGCTTACAATGTTGGGCAATGAACGGCTTTTTATTTTTCTCCGAAAGCAGTAACCAGATTTCCTTCTATTTTCCTCTTCTTCCCGAAGTTTCCATTTCCTTTAGGAAACTCTGAAAGTGAAAATAAGCTTTCGTTGGATAAGACGTTTAGACTCGATATATGCTTTCAATGTTGGAAGGAGCGCGTAGACGCACGTCTGGAATTAAACAAAATAGTTATTTTATTCAGTGAAAAGTATGTAAATATATAACAAAATGGAAGGCAATTATATTTCTCCAGATGAAATAGTGGTGGGGAGGGATTAAGCAATATGTAGGCGATATATGGCTGTACTGTTAGATTAACGTGCGTTTCTTTGTAAAGTATAATGTGTCAAAGAAGTGGCTGCGCAATACTGGTGGCACTGTGCCCGGGGATCCTCTCACAGTTTATGGTTCAAAACGTTAATGATGGTGTTTTGGTGGTTCATGGCGTTTATTATGCAGGATATACAAGGAAGTACAATCCGTGCGTAAAACCATAGATGTTTTACTTGCCATTTTTAGGAGCCTTGTCAATGGCCAAAATGTCATTTGTAAATATCACGGGGTGATTGAGAAGCGAAAACTGCGCATCTCCTTCTTCTAATTCACTAATAACAAAAGGCTCACATGCTTACATGGGTATTTATACTTATATTGAACACAAAAAGTTATTCATAATAGGGAGAGTGCATTTTTTAGTCTTGAGGGACGGGTATTCAAGCGCGGTCTTCGGTTAGCCATGCAGCCTCCGGTATTGAAATTCCAGATGCATGGCTATGCAGATGTTTGATGGTTAGGTCCCTGCATTTCACACCACGGTATTGTGTCTTGAGTTTGAGTAGACATGGCTGATTGTCAAATATGTTATTCTGCTCCTATTTCTAACTAACTGGACTATTATAATACCCATGGAAATGTAATGTCCTGCCAGTGTGTTTTCTTTGGATGTTGAAAGAAGCAGGTTTGTGTGGTTGAAGTGGTGGCTGGGTGTGATGTAAGTTTTGGAACAGGATAAGCGTTGACTGCACAGAAAAGTTGAATTTATATTAAATCATTCTCACCCGACTGGTTTGTGATTGTTTAGTACACAAACATGCAAAATAGAAAAATGTAGGCCTTGTGAAATGATTGTTTATATTCTCCTAAATTATTATATAATGATGACGATAATATTACAACAATAATGACTAATTATTATAAATGTATCAGGACTGTGTATGTCTCTGTGTGTATATTTGATTGACTACTAACTGTATTGGGAGGGGGGGGGGGGGGGGGGGGGGGGGGGCTTCCTGTTCTACACAATCTGGTTTCCTGACAGGTTTCCCTTTCCTCCTCAAACAAAGAACAGGAATGCACCCTGAATTGCAACGAAGCTGATGGGTGTGTGTGGACAACAAAATAGACGCGTGCAGTCTGGAAGTGGCACACTGGGCACTGGCACACAGACCCTTCCAAAAAAACACGTCGTGACGCATTTGCAGGCAGGCTGTTTGGCTGTAAAGCATCTGTGGTGGCCCAGGCACGTGGCAGCTTCCACTGTCAGTTTCCCAAGAAGAGTTTATGAAGACCTGTTAGTTTATGAATGAGGGTGGTGAACAACATGACCCTATTCTGAGATGATAATATTTAATTATTGATAATACAGTGAATAATTTAGAGAAAGCAAGACTTGGAGTGCCATTCTTTTTGTTCCCTGAGAAAAACAATTGTAGACTACTTGAATAGCCTATATGGGAAGGGATGTTGGCACAAGATGTTCAGAAGAGACAAATGTAGATCAATTAACTGTATCTCTGTCCCACCCGTACCATTTGCAGTGTGTGTGTTCCACACTGATACAGAACACACATATCAAATAGACTCAGAGTGGTGTGTTAGACTGTTTGGAAGTGCATACACTCACACTATTTTTAAAACCTGTAATCTTGATAGGCACATGCCACTTGCCAATCATGGATTACATGGCAGGGCCTGATATGTCAGTGTAAATGTAACGTGCAACAGCCATAATAGGAGAGCTGCACATTCCCTCTCTGCTCTCAACATATAATCCACAGCCCTGGCCAGCTGCTGTATAAACCACTCTGATAGGGTATATGGTTGCCAGACTGCCAGTGTCCAGCTATGATGGTTTGACATGAGATCACAGGCATGTCTGTCCAACTCTGAGGGCATTATCAGATGCTGTCTCACAGTATCATCCATCCACCCTTCCCAATGAATGGCCTCAAAATCTGTCACTTTGGGCAGTTTGGAACCTTTGGCACATCACAGACACATACAGTCAGTGTTAGTGTCTGTTGTTTGCATTAGTTTGTTGAAACGTACTGTACGTGCATGTACTATGTGTATTCTTCTGATTAGCGGTGATGATAGAAATCTCCATCCCAAGATAAGACATCTCAGGAAATTAGTACACAGGCTGTAAACAGGAGACTGGCCGTTGCAGGTATCACTGTAACTTCAGTCCACAGGGCAAACTTCTTCACCTTTTCACTTGTTAGGACTCATTGAAATGTAGCCCTAATAACCTTTTTTATCCATGTTTGCTATTTCATGAACAAAGTCAGATGTGTTTTGATGCCTACATACTTTGTTGTTCGACAGGGGAAGAACTGTGCGCTAATGGCACATCTTTGTCTTGATCTAGGATGTTATCTTTGAACATATCTTTAATCCCTCAGGATTACAGATATCTCTGTCTAACCTGTGTCTTCAGATGCTATTAGATCAGATGTGTGTCAGACGTGAGCCAAATCCTTGAAATGGCTTAACTGTAATGACTCTAGATCAGTTTGTCTCTATTGCTGCTGCTTTGTTTCACTAAAATATGTAATTGACAGAGCTGAGGCAAGGCAGGCCTCACCAGCTCCGTAGTTCATAGTAAACAGAGGGTTTAAAACTGATTTAGCTAAGAGGCTGCCACAGTCTATATAGGCAGAGCCGTTTACCTGTATATCTCAAACATACTCTACATCTCTTTGGCTCTGTGTATAGGTTACTGTATGTCAAATCATTGGAATAGCAAGTATTATATTCCCATTAGCCCATATACATCTCTGACAATGATAGATCTGATATGTATTTCATACATCAATTACCAGACATGAGACGGAACACGTGGACACAGACAGAGGAGTGTTCCAGTGGAGCCGTTTGTTTTCTTTAATAAATGTACATTGTTCCAACAGAGCCATTGCACTGTGGTCAATGTAGAACTGACCCCCTCGCTGTTTCTGTTGAGTCTTCAGCTGCCATTCCTTCTCTGTGGAAGGAAAACTCAGACTAGATCTTGTTGTGTGTAGTAGTCATCAGAATTGTAGTCATGTTTGAAGTCATGGTAACATCAACAGGAAGCTTTAGTTGCTAGATAGACCCAATCGCTGTATACACAAACCACTTAGGATGCCAGATTGCGATATGACACATAACTGCACATAATTACTGTAAACAAAATGTGTCTACAACAAGTGAGAGATTGAAGTTGTGAGATCACAGGTTCTCTCTGTTATTCTAGAGGTGCCCCACTATAACCTGTTCCTCCTCTGGCCTGCAGGAGGCACTGTCAGTGGTGAGTGAAGACCAGTCCCTGTTCGAGCCTCCTTACGCTGCTGCTGCCCCTCTACCCAAGACAGACATGACTGCATCTGGCACACAGGACTACGTCCAGCCCCACAAAATTAACCCGTTACCCCCTCAGCAAGAGTGGATTAACCAGCCAGTCCGAGTCAACGTCAAGAGAGAGTATGACCACATCAATGTATCCAGGTACGTTCAGCAGTAGACACAGTCCATCGCTCTAGACTCCAGGTCTTATGCCTTGTCCCTGTATGTCTTAGTCTCTGCTGATTAGAGTTGATGTTCCCTAGATTAGTCTAGATTCAAAAGGACAGTGGATCATAACAATTGCTTGTGCACGGTTAGATAAGATTTTTGGCCACCTTCTGCAGTAAGTGAGCTGCTCATCTACCACTCACTCACCTGACACTTAAATTCCATTGGACTATCTCTAGCTCTGCTCCATTGTCCCTGTGGTTGGTCTATATTTCAAACCATTTTCATCTCACTTTATTACATGCTTAGAGCCAATATAAAAATGTCTTGTCTCTCCCTGACACACACTGTGTGTCTGTGCAGTAGGGAGTCCCCAGTGGACTGCAGTGTGGGGGGTAAATGCAATAAGCTGGTGGGGGGCAACGACACATCTCAGATGAGTTACGGAAGCTACATGGACGAGAAGAACGTTCCGCCCCCCAACATGACTACCAATGAGAGGAGAGTCATCGTCCCCGCAGGTAACAATGACTTCTATGATACAAACCACGTGGTATATCTTTATAATTAACAAAAATTCCATTTTGTTTTTATTTGTTTTCTCATGTTATTAATTGCTCATAAACTAGACCTAGAAGTAATATGACTCTCCATTCCAGGCTGTGAGAAAGGTTTATTTCTCAGTCGTTTTTCTTCACAGTCAGATAGAGGGCCTATAAACATGCTCTCAATTGGCATACATTGTCTGATGTCGTAGAAATATTTTTATTAGCCCCGGATCTATTTAGCTGGGTCACGGGTGAAGGCTCTTTGATGCTTTTGTTAGTAATGTTTTAGCATGACTAAACACATGTCACGCCCTGACTCAGGGGACTCTTATATGTTGAGTCAGGGTGTGAATGTTCTATGTTGTGTTTTCTATGTTTTCATTCTAGGATTGTATGTCTATGTTTGACCGGGTTTGATTCCCAATCAGAGACAGCTGTCGCTCGTTGTCTCTGATTGGGGTTCATACTTAGGCAGCCTGTTGGCATGCATTAGTTGTGGGATCTTGTTCCGTGTGTAGGCTTGTTTTGTGTTCAGCCTTAGGACTTCACATGTGGTTTGGTTTGGTTTGGTTTGGATTGTTGTTTTGTTGTATGTTTATCGGTGAAATAAACATGTACGCATTTCACGCTGCGCCTTGGTCTGACCTGTCCTTAAACGAACGTGACAGAAGATCCCACCAAACACGGACCAAGCAGCGTGCCCAGGAGGACCGAACACCCTGGACACAGGTGGGGAAGATGTGGTCGTGGGAGGAGATATTTGTGGGGAAAGGACCCTGGGCGAAGAAGGAAGCCCAGGCAGGAGAGGAGCAAAGGCAACACAGAAGCCGGCCGAGGAGGAAGCCCGAGAAGCAGCCCCAAGAAAAAAAATTTGGGGGCTAAAGGGGTGGTCGGGGAGCGAGAGAGAAGAGCCCCGACCACTGCACCCGGTGGGTTTCCAGATTGAGTCCCTACGACCATGGGAAGAAGAGTGGGAACAGTAACATACTGAGGAGTCGGAGGATGACGACGACGATGAGTTTCTGTTCCCTAACTCGTGGGGGCTCCCGGAGGAGTCCTCACTGGAGGAGGAGTGCCGAGAGAGAGAGAAAGATCGGATCTGCAGGGTAAGAGAGGAGGCCACCATATTACGGGGGCTGATAGATAGAATAGAGCGGGAAAGATCAATTCAAGAGGAGGCACTGCAGGAGGCTCGTAGGGAAAAGGAGGAAGTAGAGGCACGGAGAGAGGAGCTGGTTAGGCAACTTAAGGAGCGGGGGTTAATAAAGGAACCCAGGTATGCGGAGATACGCACTGTGTCACCAGTGAACCTTCCCAGTCCTGCTCCTCGCACCAGACCTGTGGTGCGTGTCTCCAGTCCGGCCCGGCCCGTTCCTGCTCCTCGCACCAGACCAGTGGTGCGTGTTCCCAGTCCGGCCCGGCCCGTGCCTGCTCCCCGCACCAAGCCAGTGGTGCGTGTCTCCAGTCCGGCCCGGTCCGTTCCTGCTCCTCGCACCAGACCTTTGGTGCGTGTCTCCAGTCCGGCCTGGCCCGTTCCTGCTCCTCGCACCAGACCAGTGGTGCGTGTTCCCAGTCCGGCCCGGCCTGTGCCTGCTCCCCGCACCAAGCCAGTGGTGCGTGTCTCCAGTCCGGCCCGGCCCGTTCCTGCTCCTCGCACCAGACCAGTGGTGCGTGTTCCCAGTCCAGACCGGCCCGTGCCTGCTCCCCGCACCAAGCCAGTGGTGCGTGTCGCCAGCCCGGTACGACCCGTACCTGCTCCCCGCACCAAGCCAGTGGTGCGTGTTCCGAGTCCGGCCCGGCCTGTTCCTGCTCCTCGCACCAAGCCAGTGGTGCGTGTTCCCAGTCCGGCCCGACCTGTTCCTGCTACTCGCACCAAGCCAGTGGTGCGTGTCTCCAGTCCGGCCCGGCCCGTTCCTGCTCCTTGCACCAGACCAGTGGTGCGTGTTTCCAGTCCGGCCCGGCCTGTTCCTGCTCCTCGCACCAAGCCAGTGGTGCGTGTTGCCAGTCCGGCCCGGCCTGTTCCTGCTCCCCGCACCAAGCCAGTGGTGCGTGTCGCCAGCCCGGTGGGATCTTGTTCCGTGTGTAGGCTTGTTTTGTGTTCAGCCTTAGGACTTCACGTTTGGTTTGGTTTGTTGTTTTGTTGTATGTTTATCGGTGAAATAAACATGTACGCATTTCACACTGTGCCTTGGTCTGACCCGTCCTTAAACGAACGTGACAACACATAATGGCAACAGAGGTCTGTTCAGTCAAAGAGCTCTTTACATTAGCTAATTCACATATTACAGAGTATTATTTATGAGGGATAAATGCTTTGGGAAACATTCTCTCTCTGTCAGTCTTGGAAGAGATGTACAGTGAGGGAAGGAAGTATTTGATCCCCTGCTGATTTTGTACGTTTGCCCACTGACAAAGAAATGATCAGTCTATAATTTTTATGGTAGGTTTATTTGATCAGTGAGAGACAGAATAACAACAACAAAATCCAGAAAAACGCATGTCAAAAATGTTATAAATTGATTTGCATTTTAATGAGGGAAATAAGTATTTGACCCCTCTGCAAAACATTACTTACTACTTGGTGGCAAAACCCTTGTTGACAAATCAAATCAAATCAAATCAAATTTTATTGGTCACATGCGCCGAATACAACAGGTGCAGACATTACAGTGAAATGCTTACTTACAGCCCTTAACCAACAGTGCATTTATTTTAAACAAAAAAGTAAGAATAAAACAACAACAAAAAAGTGTTGAGAAAAAAAGAGCAGAAGTAAAAATAAAGTGACAGTAGGGAGGCTATATATACAATAGAATAAAGTGACAGTAGGGAGGCTATATATACAGGGGGGTACCGTTGCATAGTCAATGTGCGGGGGCACCGGCTAGTTGAGGTAGTTGAGGTAATATGTACATGTGGGTAGAGTTAAAGTGACTATGCATAAATACTTAACAGAGTAGCAGCAGCGTAAAAAGTATGGGGTGGGGGGGCAGTGCAAATAGTCCGGGTAGCCATGATTAGCTGTTCAGGAGTCTTATGGCTTGGGGGTAGAAGCTGTCAGACGTTTCTTGTAGTTGGCCACCAGGTTTGCACACATGTCAGGAGGGATTTTGTCCCACTCCTCTTTGCAGATTTTCTCCAAGTCATTAAGGTTTCGAGGCTGACGTTTGGCAACTCGAACCTTCAGCTCCCTCCACAGATTTTCTATGGGATTAAGGTCTGGAGACTGGCTAGGCCACTCCAGGACCTTAATGTGCTTCTTCTTGAGCCACTCCTTTGTTGCCTTGGCCGTGTGTTTTGGGTCATTGTCATGCTGGAATACCCATCCACGACCCATTTTCAATGCCCTGGCTGAGGGAAGGAGGTTCTCACCCAAGATTTGACGGTACATGGCCCTGTCCATCGTCCCTTTGATGCGGTGAAGTTGTCCTGTCCCCTTAGCAGAAAAACACCCCCAAAGCATAATGTTTCCACCTCCATGTTCGACGGTGGGGATGGTGTTCTTGGGGTCATAGGCAGCATTCCTCCTCCTCCAAACACGGCGAGTTGAGTTGATGCCAAAGAGCTCCAATTTGGTCTCATCTTACAACAACACTTTCACCCAGTTCTCCTCTGAATCATTCAGATGTTCATTGGCAAACTTCAGACGGCCCTGTATATGTGCTTTCTTGAGCAGGGGGACCTTGCGGGCGCTGCAGGATTTCAGTCCTTCACGGCGTAGTGTGTTACCAATTGTTTTCTTGGTGACTTTGGTCCCAGCTGCCTTGAGATCATTGACAAGATCCTCCCGTGTAGTTCTGTGCTGATTACTCACCGTTCTTATGATCATTGCAACTCCACGAGGTGAGATCTTGCATGGAGCCCCAGGCCAAGGGAGATGACAGTTATTTTGTGTTTCTTCCATTTGCGAATAATCGCACCAACTGTTGTCACCTTCTCACCAAGCTGCTTGGCGACGGTCTTGTAGCCCAGTCCAGCCTTGTGTAGGTCTACAATCTTGTCCCTGACATCCTTGGAGAGCTCTTTGGTCTTGGACATGGTGGAGAGTTTGGAATCTGATTGATTGATTGCTTCTGTGGACAGGTGTCTTTTATACAGGTAACAAACTGAGATTAGGAGCACTCCCTTTAAGAGTGTGCTCCTAATCTCAGCTCGTTACCTGTATAAAAGACACCTGGGAGCCAGAAATCAAATAGTCAAATACTTATTTCCCTCATTAAAATGCAAATCAATTTATAACATTTTTGACATGCGTTTTTCTGGATTTTTTTGTTGTTAATCTGTCTCTCACTGTTCCAATAAACCTACAATAAAAATTACAGACTGATCAATTCTTTGTCAGTTGGAAAACGTACAAAATCAGCAGGGGATCAAATACTTTTTTCCCTCACTGTATGGTACATCAGATATACTGTAGAATAGATGTAGGCATATGATTTGACTCCATCATATTATTACATAGGCTACACAATCTGGGAAAGGATGGATCACATAAATGAATTGAAAGATGGATGAATGAATAGCTAGATAAATAAACAAGTGAAAATAATGGATAAATAAATGAGCCATACTCTGGAAATAATTATGAGACCAAAACTTGAATTGCATTCTCAATCACTGTGAAAAGAGTAGATTGTCCAGTGCTGTTTACGCTACCTCTGTCCCCTTGCCTTCCTCCAGATCCATCGCTGTGGTCTCACGATCATGTCCGCCAGTGGCTAGAGTGGGCCATCAAGGAGTACGGCCTACTGGAGATGGACACGGCCATGTTCCAGAACACAGAGGGCAAGGAGCTGTGTAAGATGAGCAAGGACGACTTCCTCCGACTCACCACAATGTACAACGCTGAAGTCCTGCTCTCTCATCTCAATTACCTCAGGGAAAGTAAGTTCTGGCAGCCATTTGAATTGATCTATACTGAACAAAAATATAAATGCAACATGTAAAGTGTTGGTCCCATGTTTCATGAGCTAAAATAAAAGATCCCAGAAATGTTCCATAAGCACAAAAAACGTATTTCTCTCAAATGTTGTGCACAAATTTGTTTACATCCCAGTTAGTGAGCACTTTACCTTTGCCAAGATAATCCATTCACCTGACAGGTGTGGCATATTAAGAAGATGATTAAATAGCATGATCATTACACAGGTGCACCTTGTGCTGGGGACAATAAAAGGCCACTCTAAAATGTGAAGTTTTGTCACACAACACAATGCCATGGATTGTCTCAAGTTTTGAGGGAGCATGCAATTGGCATGCTGACTGCAGGCATGTCCACCAGAGCTGTTGCCAGAGAATTGAATGTTAATTTCTCTACCATATGCCGCCTCCAATGTCATTTTAGAGAATTTGGCAGTACGTCCAACCAGCTTCACAACCGCAGACCACATGTAAGGTGTCGTGTGGGCGAGCGGTTTGCTGATGTCAACGTTGTGAACAGACTGCCCCATGGTGGTGGTGGGATTATGGTATGGGCAGGCATAAACTACGGACAATGAACACAATTGCATTTTATCGATGGCAATTTAAATGCACAGAGATACCGTGACGAGATCCTGAGGCCCATTGTTGTGCCATTCATCCGCTGCCATCACCTCATGTTTCACCATGATAATGCACAGCCCCATGTCGCAAGGATCTGTATACAATTCCTGAAAGCTGAAAATGTCACAGTTCTTCCATGGCCTGCATACTCACCAGACATGTCACCCAGTGAGCATATTTGGGATGCTCTGGATTGACGTGTATGACAGCGTGTTCCAGGTCCCGCCAATATCCAGCAACTTCACACAGCCATTGAATAGGAGTCGGAAAACATTCCACAGGCCACAATCAACAGCCTGATCAACTCTATGCGAAGGAGATGTGTCGCGTTGCATGAGGCAAATGGTGGTCACACCAGATACTGACTGGTTTTCTGATCCACGCCCCCTACCTTTTTTTAAAGGTATCTATCTGTGACCAACAGATGCATACCTTTATTCCCAGTCATATAAAATCCATAGATTAAATGAACTGATTTCCTTATATGAACTCTAACTCAGTAAACTTTGAAATTGTTGCATGTTGCGTTTATATTTTTGTTCAGTGTATGTCTGATGGATCACAGAGGTGTAGGACTCTAGTTTCTCAGTGATCTTTATTCTCAATGTGGTAACAAACAGTGACAAGGTGACAAAACAGAAATTCTCTGTCTCTTCCATTAGCCAGTTTGTACTGCAGTCTCACATTGACCTACTGTACATCCAGTCTCGTTCACCCGGCTATGTGAGAATGCCAGAAAACGCGGTATACCCGTTTGTAATGTTTTACATAGGTATTTTTACTGGATTGGTTTTTCATAAAGAGTAGAGGAGGCTTAAATAGCACAGATATTTCAGTCTCTGTTTCTCAGTGCATCGCCCCTGTTTTTGGATGTGAACTGAGGGTAAGAATGCCAAACCAAGGGAAATAACATGACTCACTGTGTTTTGTCACCATAGTCTTCATTTTACAGTCACCAGACAATGATACAGCCTTACTGGAAACCTGGACCCCATTTCTCCAAAATGGCCGCCCTGCAGGCCATGGCACATACAGCTATTGCAGCCACGAGGACTTAAGAGTTTTTCCCCTGTAGATAACCATCATCTCTGGACTGTAACCCACTCTGCCTCCACTTAGGAGTGCCTTATTCCACATAGGCCACAGTAAGATGAAGCCCATGTGCATTGCCTCAGGAATCACATGAGCGAGTGAGATCTATGTGTTCAGCAGAGCACAGGAAGTTTATCTGTAATATACAATGGAGGCAGCTTTGCTGATTCATTGGAAGGCCTTTTGTACATTACGGGCTCGCATGTTTTGGCAGCGAGACACGGCTGTAAAGAAACAAGGTTTCTCTACACCAATATGCAAATGCCATCTATAAGCAACATATCAGGAGGACAGGCAGCATCTGGCATCGCGTACAGATCACCTGGACTGTGTACCATTCTGTGCTCTGCTGTATAGTTCAGATTTTATAGTCATCCACTGTATTGTATGGAGTTGGTGGATGGCCATCACAAAACATACTAAGCCATAATGTTGGAGGCCATCCATAAAATCAGTTATTTCAGTAAACCAGTAAATATTTCCATGGATATCTCACCCTCTATGTATGACGGTTATCCTCTGCTGTTTGTACTGTACTGCAAGAATAGCAGCTGCGGCTACAAAACGTCATGACATGGAGCTGGATGGAGCCCCTAATGGTTTACTAATTTTAACGTTTCTCTTAAAAATTGTGATGTAATGGGATCTTTATTCCGTGAGTGTCAACAGTTTTCTCTGTGCTGTGTGTGGCGTCTGGGCCCAGAGAATGGGGATGACTGCCGTGAGTATAACAGCCACATTGTGTTACAATGCAGGATGGACTGGAGTCTCTGTGTGTCTGATTGACCACGGCCGGGCCCTCTCTGCAGAGCAGTTTTCATTAGAAACGGTTGCCGCGGGACTTAGCCTGGCTTAGGCGTGCTGCACTGCGGCTCTCCCCCCGCCACAATTCTTTTGATTTAGTTGTTGTGTGTTTTGGAAACAGAAGAGATGTTTTGGAATCCTCCGTTCGGCCATTGAAATTGCTTTGGACCCCTTCCCAAGCGAGGAGACAAATGCTCTCTCCTCGTCCCGTGCCTGGCTGATCAGTAGCAGGCCTTTTGTGAAATGAGCAATGCTAGGGCGTATATTGACACGGGGCGGTGAGCTCGGGTTGAGGTGGGAGGAACTGTGTTAGTAAAGGCACGACGTCGGAAGAGGGTGGGGAGATTCCAGGGTTTATCCTGACCTCAGGGCAGCAGATTTGAAACTGAAGCCGATCTCTTCCCCCCTGCAGCACAAACAAATACAATCACAGACAAGTAGCTAGCCCGTCCAGAACGCAGACCTCTGGCTTCACTCATGAGGAGAGCTGGAGCGGGGCCGAGCTCTCGGTTTAGACTCAGACACACATATACAAGGAGAGGGAGAGGCAGGCCCTGGAAGTATTTAGTGATTACAGGCCATCTGATGCCTCACCCTCTCCCATCCTCCCCCATCCACTCTCCTCCCAACCCGACGACGGTCCGTCCTCGACGAGCTGGAATCATTTCATACACATATGTGTACACCATGTGTGTTACTTTGGGGTCTGTTTATTGAAACTATGATTAACATTCTTCAGTGTCATTAAGCTTGTTCATTGTAGACCAGAGCAGGGCAGGGACATTTCCCCTCCCTGCGGCTATACGCTAACATGCTGACCACACCGCGTGCGTCCGCGTGTGCCATCGCGCACATGTTGATTTTGTCTGTGATCAGGACACGCAGGTTGAAATATCAAACAAACTCTGAACCAACTATATTAATTTGGGGACAGGTCGAAAAGCATTAAACATTTATGGCAATTTAGCTAGTTAGCTTACTGTTGCTAGCTAATTTGTCCTGGGATATAAACATTGTGTTGTTATTCTACCTGAAATGCACAAGGTCCTCTACTCTGACAATTAATTCACAGATAAAAGGGTAAACCGAGTTCATTTCTAGTAATCTATCCTCCTTCAGGCTTCTTCTTCTTCTTTGGACTTTAGATGGTGGTTGGCAACCAACTTTAAGGTGCATTACCACACCAACTGGACTGGAGTGTGGACCTCAGTTCATCTTTCAATCACCCACGTGGGTATATGTTCCTAAAAACCAATGAGGAGATGGGAGAGGCGGGACTTGCAGCGGGTCAAGCGTCACAAATAGAACCAAGTTCTATTTTAGCGCCTGGCTACGCAGACACTTGTTGACACGCGCGAGCAGTGTGGGTGCAATGATTAAACAACATGTGGTCAGCATGTAACAGTAACAGCACACGCCTGTCTGATTACTCTTAGTCATACACAGAGAGGAATATCATAAATGCAGATGCCAGCAAGACATTCTGCACATACCTGAATCTCTGTCTCCTGCTGCGAACAGTAATAAGGGTGGTTGCCTGTGCATTATTTTGGCCCCATTTTTGGTCACTTATCCAGATTTTTATATGTGATGGCCGCCCTTTCTGCAATGTGCTTTCAATTTGGGGCGCAATTTGAGAATTTGTTCAAATTAGTCTGTCAGGGAGGGACTGTGGACTGTTTGCTTTATTTCACCCATGTAGGTCGGTTTGATACCACATGTGCTGGAACGAACCAAGCACAGCACAGTGAAACCTCCAACAAGGAGAGACTGTATCCTCAGACACAGAGACAGGAGAAAGAGAAAAAAAAAGAGTGGGAGTTTTTATTGAAGTGCGTGGAAGTGGCCTGAAGTGGCTTTGATTGAATGCCATAGGAGAATAGCTGCATTGCTTTCTTTCCCAGCTGTCCCTGCTCTGGTCTGCTCTGTGTGGCTGACTGTGGCTGGATGGATTTACAGGAGGGAGTGGAGAAAGTGATAAGTCTGGGCTCCCAGCCTCCCAGGCTGCCTCTGCTCCTTAACCTACTGCTGCTGGTGCAGCCCGCTCCAGAGTGGGGAAACTCTCAAGCCCTCAATAGTTTATGCAGACCATAAACATCTGGGCTGAAGGCTGCAGAGGAAAAGGCGGTCTGGAGTTCTTTCCTTCGCCGCCAGTCTCTCTCTCTCTCTGTCTCTCTCTCTCTTTAGGTTTTTATGGAGGTCTCCCTGCATTAGTTATTTCTATTAGCAGATTAGCACTGCAGTGTAGGGGCTCAGAGGCCTGGCTGCCTGCCTCTGTTGTTAGCTGTTAGGTACCATTACACAGCACCTCTGGTTGGTTTGGATTGGTCATGGAACTGGGCTAATGTAGTCTAGTGACTGGGGTCTCCTAGGTCTCCTTTTAAGGGGCTCTGGTCTCACCGCCCGTGTGGGTGCCCCTCAGTTTGTTGATGGAGAGAAGGGTATGTACATGTTTGAGGGGGTAGTATAGATTTTAGCTTGGTAGGATCAACAACAGGCCAGGGCTCAGCAAAGGTCAATGACGTCTAACCATCTCACAGGGATGTCTGTCAATATTATGGTGTGTCAAGATGGAGGATGGAGGGGCAGGGGGCATTTTAAAGAGTCATCATTCATAGAAAAGAAAGAAAAGAAAACAGTGCTTTGGAGGTATTATGTAATAGAAGAACAGACTCTGGGCAGATGTAGCTCGGTTGGAGGAGGCTGAACATTAGCCAGTCATCCCACTGTGCAGTCAGATTACTGGGAAGTGTTTGTTTTTCGAGGGGGAAGAGCGCGTCCAAATAAATAGGCGGTGTGACCAAGCCTCCCTCGCTCAAAGTGTTGGCGTTCCCCATTTCTCTCTCTCTCTCTCTCTCTCTCTCTCTCTCTCTCTCTCTCTCTCTCTCTCTCTCTCTCTCTCTCTCTCTCTCTCTCTCTCTCTCTCTCTCTCTCTCTCTCTCTCTCTCTCTCTCTCTCTCTCTCTCTCTCTCTCTCTCTCTCTCTCTCAGAATAGAGGTCCCAGCATTCTCTTTTTAATCTGTTTTCTCAGCAGCTCTGCCTGTCTGGGGCGGCCCCCATGTGGAACGCAGTAGGGTAGGGGTTAACCCTACCCCCTTCTATCTCTCCCTCTCCCTCTCCCTCTCCCTCTCCCTCTCCCTCTCCCTCTCCCTCTCTTTCTACTTATTTTACTCCCCCTGAGGATGGGTCGGTATAGTGCCTGCCCCGTGCACTTACACTGAGAGTGTGGAATAATGTTTGTATGGGGAGCTGCGTTTGATTGCTGTGCAGGGACCCTACCTCAAACAATGCTTCCCCTGTTCACTAGCCCCAGGTCCAAACCAGGACCAGAGCCTTGGGGGTGGCGTGGGCTGGGGTGGAGCGGGAATGGGGTGGGGGTTAGAATATGTGTGTAGAGCCCCCCCGCCTCGCTCCACCAGCCCCCCAAAAAACAGCCCCCAGGTCTGACTTGCTGTGGGCCCTCTCATTCCCCTCCACCCTCCAAAATGAGCAAAGGCATCCTGCATTCCCAAGCTGTAGCCTATAGTGTTATTCATCTCTCCATCTCCTCCTGCCCATTCAGAAAAGCTCCTAGAGTTCCTTCCTAACCAGCAACTCCCCATAGTAGTAGTCTTGTATTACATCTTACACTCCCCATAGCAGTTGTAGCACTGGTGTTTTCCCAGTGCATTTTTGGTCTGTTTTTCCACTCTGATTTATGCCTCGGGGTAGCTAAAATTAAGAGAGCGTTTTGGTGCCGCCTGTGTCAGCAGAGGAATGCAGAGCACAGTTCTGCTCCATAAGGTGAAATGAAAAGCTAGCCATCATGCTATTATACATAGTCTTGGTTTCTTGGACTTTAATAGTCAGGAGGTTTGTGGTGGAAATGTTGACTCAACACAGCATTCCAAGTTTAAAGGATTACATATTAAAATATTGCTAGGTCGATTTTTTATTGGGTAGAATGGATTGATTGTTTACCATGTACCATGGGCAGTTAAGTATAATTTTAAGAGGCATCTCAAATGAAAGGAAATTGAGATCTACCTACAGTAATCAAGGACCTTCTTACCGCCACCTGCTGGGTGTTGGCCAGTTTTACTACTCACAGCTAACCATACTGGCTAAAAGGTTAAATAGCATAGTATAGTAATTCAAGTTATTACATTTAATGTTTCGTTATTCATTATACACTGAGTGTACAAAACATTAGGAACACATTCCTAATATTGAGTTGACTCCAATGCTTCCCACAGTTGTGTAAGGTTGGCTGGATATCCTTTGGGTGATGGACCATTCTTTATACACCATTCTTGGAAACTGTTGAGAGTGAAAAACCCAGCAGCGTTGCCGTTCTTGACACACTCAAATCGGTGCGCCTGTAACCTACTACCATACCCTGTTCAAAGGCACTTCAATATTTTGTCTTGCCCATTCACCCTCTGAATGGCATACATACACAATCCATGTCTCAAATGTCTTAAGGCTTAAAAATCATTATTTAACATTGATTGAAGTGGATTTAACAGGTGACATCAATAAGGGATCATAGCTTTCACCTGGATTCACCTCATCAGTCTATTTACATTTACATTTACATTTACATCATTTAGCAGACGCTTTTATCCAGAGCGACTTACAAATTGGTGCATTCAACTTACGATAGCCAGTGGGACAACCACCTTTTAAAAAATTATTTAAAAAAAAATAGGGGGTGGGGGAAGAAGGATTACTTTATACTATTCCAGGTATTCCTTAAAGAGGTAGGGTTTCAAGTGTCTCCGGAAGGTGGTGAGTGACTCCGCTGTCCTGGCGTCGTGGGGGAGCTTGTTCCACCATTGGGGTGCCAGAGCAGTGAATAGCTTTGATTGGGTTGAGCGGGAACTGTGCTTTCGTAGAGGTAGGGGAGCTAGCAGGCCAGAGGTGGATGAATGTAGTGCCCTCGTTTGGGTGTAGGGTCTGATCAGAGCCTGAAGGTAAGGAGGTGCCTATGTCATGGAAAGAGCAGGTGTTCCTAATGTTTTGTACACTCAGTGTATAATGAATAATGAAACATTCAAATTAATAACTTGAATTACTATACTATACTATATAACCTATTAGCCAGTATTTGTTATTAATCTTGCCCTATGCACAGATAACTGTAAACTTTGAGATCATACAGCTCTGACCTTGTGCCCATCTGGCGTGTTGCAGGTAGCTCGTCATTATCCTACAACACTCCATCTCACATGGATCAGTCTCCACGCCCGGCTGCCAAAGAAGGTAGGACAGCATTATCTTCCAAAACCTTACTGCTAATGTTAAATATGGGCAACTGTTTTCTATTTCAGAGGTGTTTTTATAGGGGACCAGGTTTCCTGTATCGAAGAGAGCCAGGTATATGCTGGGAGAGAGAGAGAGAGCGAGAGAGAGAGAGAGAGAGAGAATGAGAGAGAGAGAGAGAGAGCAAGAGAGAATGAGAGCGAGGTCAAGAAAGAATGTTCTCATTTAGCATGATCATTTAGCCAAAACAATAGAGCTGCGGCACGCTCCTCTCTGTCTGCCAGCCCCTCAGCGCACGACTGTCTCAGTGTGAGTGCCAGTTCCCTCTCTGCTGCAACAGCGGAGAACAGGCCCAGGTCCTGGGAACACCAGGAAGAGACGCAGCTATTGACTGGTACATCTTTTGTACAGGGGAATAATACCAGGCAGCACTACCCCAGTCTGTGCTATTCATGGCCTACCTGCACATGGGGGAAAGCGAGGGCCACCTCAGAATGGAAGGGAATTAGCAAGACAAAAGGCAACCATTTAGCTATTTAATTTTGAATTGGAAGACCCCTTGAAGTATAAAAAAGCCCATACAAACACATTGAATAACAGATTCACTACATGAAACAACAGACAGTCCCCCCAAAAAATCTGAAGGAGGTTCTGTTCTGAAGTGTCTGTCCTATATCTGAGAGATATAAGAAAGACCAGTAAATATACAGTTGAAGTCGGAAGTTTACATACACTCAGGTTGGAGTCATTAAAACTCGTTTTTCAACACCACAAACTATAATTTTGGCAAGTCGGTTAGAACATCTACTTTGTGAATGACACAAGTAATTTTTCCAACAATTGTTTACAGACAGATTATTTCACTTATAATTCACTGTATCACAATTTCAGTGGGTCAGAAGTTTACATACACTAAGTTGACTGTGCCTTTAAACAGCTTGGAAAATTCCAGAAAATGATGTCATGGCTTTAGAAGCTTCTGATAGGCTAATTGACATAATTTGAGTCAATTGGAGGCGTACCAGTGGATGTATTTCAAGGCCTAGCTTCAAACTCAGAGCCTCTTTGCTTGACATCATGGGAAAATGAAAAGAAATCAGCCAAGACCTCAGAAAAAAAATTGTAGACCTCCACAAGTCTGGTTCATCCCTGGGAGCAATTTCCAAACGCCTGAAAGTACCACGTTCATCTGTACAAACAAAAGTACGCAAGTATAAACACCATGGGACCACGCAGCCGTCATACCGCTCAGGAAGGAGACGCGTTGTCTCCTAGAGATGAAAGTACTTTGGTGTGAAAAGTGCAAATCAATCCCATAACAACAGCAAAAGGACCTTGTGAAGATGCTGGAGGAAACCGGTACAAAAGTATCTATATCCACAGTAAAACGAGTCCTATATCGACATAACCTGAAAGGCCGCTCAGCAAGGAAAAAGCCACTGCTCCAAAACCGCCATAAAAAAGCCAGACTACGGTTTGCAACTGCACATGGGGACAAAGATCATACTTTTTGGAGAAATGTCCTCTGTTCTGATGAAACAAAAATATAACTGTTTGGCCATAATGACCATTGTTATGTTTGGAGGAAAAAGGGGGGGCTTGCAAGCCGAAGAACACCATCCCAACCGTGAAGCACGGGGGTGGCAACATCATGCTGTGAGGTTGCTTTGCTGCAGGAGGGACTGGTGCACTTCACAAAATAGATGGCATCATGAGGAAGGAAAATTATGTGGATATATTGAAGCAACATCCTAAGACATCAGTCAGGAAGTCAAAGCTTGGTCGCAAATAGGTCTTCCAAATGGATAATGACCCCAAGCATACTTCCAAAGTTGTGGCAAATGGCTTAAGGACAACAAAGTCAAGGTATTGGAGTGACCATCACAAAGCCCTGACCTCAATCCTATAGAAAATTTGTGGGCAGAACTGAAAAAGAGTGTGCGAGCAAGGAGTCCTACAAACCTGACTCAGTTACACCAGCTCTGTCAGGAGGAATGGGCCAAAATTCACCCAACTTATTGTGGGAAGCTTGTGGGAGGCTACTCAAAATGTTTGACCCAATTTAAACAATTTAAAGGCAATGCTACCAAATACAAATTGAGTGTATGTAAACTTCTGACCCACTGGGAATGTTAGGAAAGAAATAAAAGCTGATATAAATCATTCTCTCTGCTGTTATTCTGACATTTCACATTCTTAAAATAAAGTGGTAATCCTAACTGACCTAAAACAGGGAATTTTTACTAGGATTAAATGTCAGGAATTGTGAAAAACTGAGTTTAAATGTATTTGGCTAAGGTGTATGTAAACTTCCGACTTCAACTCTATATATATATTTTTTTTACATGTATTTAACCCCTTATTTTTGGAACTAAACAGTATAAACTTCCATTCATTTTTTCAATTGGCACCGGGGAACCTACAGCAGAGTCTTGTGAGGCCTGTGGACGTACTAGAGCAAAACAACCGACATGTACACTACCAGTCAAAAGTTTGCAAAGCTGTCATTAAGGCAAAGGGTGGCTATTTGAAGAATCTAAAATCTAAAATATATTTGATTTGTTTAACACTTGTTTGGTTACTACATGATTCCATATGTGTTATTTCATAGTCTTGATGTCTTCACTATTATTCTACAATGTAATAAATAGTAAAAATAAAGAAAAACCCTTGAATGAGTAGGTGTGGCCAAACTTTTGACTGGTACTGTATGTGTTCGTGAGAGTCATATTAGTGTGTAGCCCAAACTGTTCGGACGCTACAGACAGAAGTTGGCAGGTCGGCTGTACCGACTTCAGACGAGTCCCAAGACGCTACAGGCGATTTTGTGAGAATTTCAGGATGTCTCATGGTCTGAGAAACACTGCTTGATACACATCCAATGCATTGATACACATCCAATTAAAAAAACAAACAGATATCTCTAACTTAAACTGACAGATCTTTCTGATTTTTGTTATTAAGCTAATTCGATTTCCGCAGGAGCGCGGACATCGACTCTAGGGGGTTTTAAGGTCTTCTGAGGTGACACCTTGGCTAATGAGCATTTGCACTGGTATATGCCAAATCACATCACATTTAATTTGTCACATGCTTCGTAAACTAACAGTGAAATGCTTAGTTACGGGCCCTTCCCGACAATGCAGAGAGAAAGAAAATAGAGAAATAATAGAAAGTAAAACACGTAATAAAAAAAGTAATAATAGATACATAATGAGTAACGATGACTTGGCTATATACACATGGTACCAGTACCGAGTCGATGTGCAGGGGTGTGAGGTAATTGAGTTAGATATGTACATACTGTCAGGTTTTGGCCATGACTGTTCGGGTTTTGGTCACTAGATGTCCCCATTGCACCTTTTTGTACCTTTTGTTTTTTCTTGATCTAATTATTGTTTGCACCTGTAGGTCATTCCCCTGTTAGTATTTAAATCCTGTGTGTTCCTCAGTTCCTTGCTCAGTGTTTGTAAGTTAGCACCCAGCCCCAGCCCAAGCCTTGTGTTATATGGATATTTCTCTGGTGGGATTTTTTACCACTTTGTGGAGTTTCTTTGTTTTTTGGAGGTTTTCCTCTTTGTGCCTCTTGGCTTTATTTTTGGACATTGTGGATTTAGTTTCTTTGCCTGAGGATTTTTGTTCTTTATTAAACCACCATCTCTAGTACTGCTGTGTCTGCCTCATCTTCTGGGTTCTGACAATTATTAGTGACTGTTTCTCGCACCGGGTCCTGACAGAAACACTGAGCCATTATTATGAACCCAGAGGCAGCCAGTACCCAGGATTTTTTTTCCATGCTGTCCCACCATGAGGGGACTGTCCAACACCACGAAGCTGCTCTGGTTCAGCAAGAGGCCTTAATGGCTAGACATTCTCAACTTCTGTCAGAGATGCTGACTTCCATAAAGCAGATTTCGGATCGACTTTCCCCGGCAACCGCTTCTGCTCCAGTTCATCCGATTCAAGGGCTCCTGGCAGTTAATCCCCTGGCGGAACCTCGTCTGCCGCCTCCTCAACGGTTCTCAGGGGACCCAAGTGTTTGTAAGGGGTTTTTCACCCAATGTTCTCTCTCCTTTGAGCTGCAACCATCGTCGTTTCCCACCGACCGGTCCAAGATAGCATATATCATCACCCTGCTGTCGGAAAAGGCTCTAGCCTGGGCTACTGCTGTGTGGGATGCCCAAAGTCCCTGCTGTGCCAGCTACTCTACCTTTGCTGAAGAATTCAAGCGAGTGTTTCAAGGTCCTACCAACGGCCCTGACTCAGCCAAACAGCTCCTGACTCTCCGCCAAGGTCGGCGCAGCGTGACGGACTATGCCATCCAGTTCCGCACTGTGGCAGCAGCAAGTGGCTGGAACGACGAGGCGCTCACAGTGTGTTTTTTGAAGGGTCTTTCTGACACCATCCAAGATGAACTGGCCACTCGGGAACCACCGGACAACCTCGAGTCCCTTATCAAGTTGGCTTCACGCATAGACCAGCGTCTGAGAGAGAGAGAACAAAACCATAGACCGCTCACCCTAGTTCCTATCGGTTCCAACTCCGAGTCTCCACCTTTATCCTCGCTGGCTCCACCAGAACCCATGCAGGTTGGACGCATCTCCCAGGCTGAGAGAGACCGCCGAATGAGGGAGCGATGCTGTCTATATTGCGGCAAACCGGGCCATTTCCGCTCCACGTGTCCCGGGCTCCAGGGAAACGCACTCTCCCGTGCAGGCCTGGGAGGACTGTAACGGGAAACATAACCTCCTCCCATCTATCCAACTCCCGCCTGCTCATTCCTGTTACCCTTTCCTGGGACGACCACGAGGTTTCTCTTCAAGCCTTGGTAGACTCTGGAGCCGCAGGTAACTTCATGGATGGGATCTGGGCGAAGGAGAATGGCGTTCCTTCTGAACCTCTAAGTGACCCCATAAGGGTTGCTACGTTGGATGGAAGTCCTTTGGGATCTGGACTTGTCACTCGTGCCACTACCCCCTTACGACTTTCAGTTTCCCAACACAAGGAAGTGATGAACTTTCATCTGATCGCCTGTTCCGAATTTCCTCTCGTCCTTGGCTATCCCTGGCTTCACAGCCATAACCCTCACATCGACTGGTCTGTGGGCACTATCAAGCAGTGGGGTCCCACGTGCCAAGCCACTTGTATCTTCCCGAGTTCCCAGAGTTCTCCTTCCGAGTCTCTAGAATCCATCGACTTGTCCCGAGTTCCCGAGTGTTACCATGACCTCAAACTGGTATTTAGCAAACAGAGGGCCACCAAACTACCACCCCATAGACCTTACGATTGCACCATCGACCTGTTGCCGGGGACCTGCCCTCCCAGGGGTCGGATCTTTTCCCTTTCTCCTCCCGAACGAGCTGCTATGGATACCTACATCAAGGACGCTCT